ATGTGTGTGTACGTAAACATCAGTGTAGCTTTGTATTGTCATGTAATCTGAATTTTTCGAGAAACTCTCCACACGCCTATAAATATAACCAACGCGACGCGCTAAAAACAGTATATGTTATTGGTTCGCTATAAACTTCGGAAGCTATAACTGTGATTGTTATAACGCTAATTAATCGGGAAACTTAAGATATATTGACCAGGAACGTTTATAAATTTCGTACATTACAAACCATTTAACTTCAGTGGATTCATATCGGACATTAGTACTTTTACAAAACACTACCTAACGTCATCGGTGGAAACTCGACCTGTAATCGGCGTGTGACCAGTGAATTTCACAGAGCTAGCTAGCTCCCTGTTAAGTGAATTATACCTACGTCAACTCGAAATTAATTCGCTCATCGTCAACCCTCGATAAGATATCAAGGAAGTTCCAGACTAGAAAGAAGACTTTATATTGCTTGAAAGTTTGTGAAACTTTTGTATATAAATCATTGTTCGTAATAACTGTTATTGTAAATTGTATTGTTGTTTGTATATTAAAACATATTTGTATTAAAAAAGAAAACTGTGTGTATCAATCTTGTTGGCAAGTATCATAAATTGGAGATATATCAGCAAATATTTAACTACTAAATTTAAATTACAATTTAACTCAGTTTTAGTCTATTCGAAATTGTCATACTTAACATACATTTCAATGTTTTGAGGGTTTATTTAATTAACAGGACATCCACGCTAATGAAAGTCACACTGTTGATAGGCTAACTTCCGTGAGTACCGGCCTTACATTACACTAATTGAAGTCACACTGTTGGTAGGCTAACCTCCGTGAGTACCAATGTTACATTACGCTAATGAAAGTCACACTGTTGATAGGCTAACCTCCGTGAATACCAGTGTTACACCACGCTAATGAAAGTCACGCTGTTGATTGGCTAGCCTCCGTGAGTACCAGTGTTACATCAAGCTAATAGAGGTCACACTGTTGATAGGCTAACTTCTACGTGTGCTAACCTTACGTTACGTTTCACAATTAAACTCGTGAGTGAACGAACGACTCGAATGTTGTTGTTTTTTTAATATGTAAAATATAGCTTCTAATAAAAGAAAATAAAACTTACTCGTTTCACCATTAGCTAAAGTTGAAGTTAACTGTTCGGTTGATCCTGTTGAAATATTACCTTCTGGAATATTTTCATATTCGTTTAACATTTGGGAAACGAGAAATGATTCAGAAGGATACGTGAATGTTGTAGGCTCTTCGTCAAACTGGATTTTCAACTAAGAATTACAAAAGAAGAAGAAGTAATGTGATTGAAATGCCAGAATCACATTTACTCATATTTCATTGTTTTACTGAATTACATCTTTGTCCAGTATATTTATAAATGTTTT